ATTGGTATAAGAAGTTCACGCAAGCTTTACTGGAGTTACAGTTCGTCCAGAGCCGCGCGGATCATGCTATGTTCACTTATCGGCGTGGTGCTACATTTGTGATCACTCTTATTTATGTCGACAATGTCATTCTTACTGGAATGATCTGCCCTTCATTGAGCAGGTTAAGACTTTTCTCCATGATCGCTTCACCTTCAAGGATCTTGGCTCCCTCAAGTAATTCCTTGGTATCGAGGTTGCGCGGTCACCCAAAGGGCTTGTTCTCAATTAGCGTAAATATGCTCTTGATATTCTGGCTGATACAGGGTTGGAAGCTGCTCGTCCTTTGATCGCCCGTAACTATCACAGGAAAAATAGGCAAGGGTACCTATCGTTCTAATGTAGTATAGCAGGAAGCAAGGTCGTATCCACAGAGACTTCGTGTACTAGTACTCAGCTTTTACCTATTATCTAGTCAATCGTTTTTAGTTGATTTTCGTTTAGAAATAAAAACACACGCAATAATAAAACACAATAAAGTAGTTTTCAAAGTAAAATCAAGTGGAGAAGGCGTTGTCCTGGAAGTGAATCCCCCTAATATGCATTTTACAGACAAGTTGAATTTAACATAGACGAGTGTTAATATCTTAGACCGTGAAAATTCCCAATTTAGTGTTAACCCGTTCGCACATGTATTAACACCCTTTTGACTTAAGAATCAAGTGAAACCGTGGCTTACAAAAATCTTAAACCAAAGCAATAACCAGATTTATGAACTTTCGTATTAGGTTTTTAAGCTAATCCAGAGGAACTACGTGACCCCATTGCCGGTGGCTCCGATCAATTCCTTCTTTTCACGAGGGATCTAACATGCAAAATTACCTCGCAGTCTCATTTACATGTATCAGATAAAATATACAATAGACGCGTACTATTGATACTTGCACATGATAAGTCGAGAAAAGATCGTAAGAACGAGAACAACACGTCTATATCAAAGATACCACTCAATCAAAGTAAAACATATTAGGGTTCATCAAATCCGGAACAACTAGAAGATTAGCCGGACATGATGAGATTTAGAAAGATGGAGGTTGAGAACATAACCATGATGATGACGACGACAAAGACGGAGGGGTCGAGAATATGGTATGTATATTGAGTTAATAGACTACACCTAGCAAACATCTGACGGGGGAATAATCGTTGGGAGAAGACGGTGGAAACCGACCAATCTACCACCACAAATGATTATCAAAACCCCACAGAACAGAAGCTTACTTCGGTAATCTCAATAACGAAATATACCACGGTATTCCCAAATACGAACACGAACATGAGAACCACGATGGATGAAATACGAGATATGACTAACGAAATGAAAAGAAGTAACAAGAGTTTGGAATGAAAAGTGGACAGAGTTTTGGCTAACTTCAAATACAAGAAAGGAAGAGCAAAGTGAAGAAAAATGGTTCGCTTTCTAGTGTGTGTCCTCTCCCTCTATTTATAGTACTTGCTTGAGCTACTTGCTTGAGCTACTTGCTTGTAATAAATGGACCAGCTGCTTGCTTGTCCCTCGCTTTGATAATGGACCAGCTGCTTGCTTTCAATGGCCAGCTGCTTGCTTTCAATTCATGGACGAGGCAGCTTTCAGGTATGGACGAGCTTAATGGACGTGCTTGCTTCATTATTTGGACGAGCTTGCTTGTCCATTTAATTCTCCAGCTTGCTTCATTATTTGGACGAGCTTGGACGAGCTTAATGGACGTGCTTGCTTCATTATTTGGACGAGCTTGCTTGTCCATTTAATTCTCCAGCTTGCTTCATTTTGCACCAGCTACTAGCTTCAGCTACGAAGGCAAGGGAGGAGGAGCTGCTTGCTTAGGACGATGCAGCTGCTTGCTTCCCGAATAATGGACCTGCTAGCTTCTATTTTTGGGACCAACTTGCTTCTTCATTTGACACCAACCATCCTCCTGCTTGCTTCTTTATTTGGACCAGCTTGCTTCAGCTACTAGCTTCACACGAGAATCCCAAAATGAACCAGCTTTTCCTTATGTTTAGCAATAGGCAGTTTGCGGTTTGACTCTGCATTGTTAATTAGCTCTCTTTCCGTGATTCATCACCATAATACACGATGGGTCTCGTATATTGATAACAAAAGGGGACGCGGCCGGAGTGGTACGGCTCTTTGCCCTCGCCCGGGACGTCGCGGGCTCGAGTTCCACCGACGCCAGATTTCGAACCCTAACCATCTTTTTGTGGAAATGACACATTATTCCGTTCTTATTGGATAGAATACCCTGAAACATGACTCAAACACAAAACCAAACATAAAATCGGGAAATTGAATGAACTTAATACAATTTATGTTATTTTAGGATGTAAAAGTGTAGGCAAATATATGTATAATTTAGGTGTTATCATCCTTGTTCCACTTCGATTGAGCAGCAACACAGTTTGGAACGTGTACCCTCTCCTCCTGCGAGAGATCCAGCTGCCTACCGGCGTCTTGTCGGTCGTCTTCTCTACCTGACAGTTACGCGACCTGACATCACTTATGTTGTGAACATCCTCAGCCAGGCAATGAAGTCCCTAACACATGCTCACGAGGATGCGGTTGTTCGTGTCCCTCGCTATCTCAAAGGCTCCCCATGTGGTGGTATTTTCTTCTCTGCTTTCACTCCTGTGATTTTGAAGGGATTTTGTGACGCTGATTGGGGTGGTTGTCAGACTACTCGTTGTTCCACGACAGGGTTCTTTATTACTCTTGGCGATTCTCCCATTTCCTGCCGCACCAAGAAATAGGCTGTTGTTTCGCGTTCTTATGCTGAAGCTGAGTACTGGGCTATGGCTAGCACCGTCAGCGAGATTATATGGTTGTGCTGGTTACTTCGTGACTTGGATGTTCCCAGCACTCCTACTACTGTCTTGTTTTGCGACAACCAGGGTGCCCTCCATATCGCTGCTAATCCGGTTTTTCATGAGCGTACCAAACACGTCGAGATAGATTGTTACGTTGTACGTGAGCATGTTCAATCTTCTGAGATAGCGCCTGGTAAGGTTGCTACTATCGACCAGCATGTAGATCTTTTAACGAAGGGATTGAGTGTTGATCAGTTTCATCATCTCTTCGTCAATCTCGGACTTCTCGACATTCACTCCTTCGCTTGAGGGGGAGTGTAGTGATTCCTAATTAGTTATTATTAATTAGTTGAGGGATCACTTATCATTTTTTTCCCTTCACTGTGTATATTGAGGAAAGGATCTAGGGTTAGGTTTTACATATATATTGCTCGACAGCTGTAGCTGAAAACCATGAGGTTGTAAGACATTGAAATTATAGTTTTTTCCTAGAGCTTCCAACTCTCCGTGGTTTAGTCCTGTTCATATTGAACGGGGATACCACGGAAATCTGCGTCCCGTGTTCTTTATTTTCCGCATATCATAGAGTTTTACAGACTCACCTCATTTGCAACCCTACATGAAAGTGAAGTGTTTGGAACCAAAAACGGTATGCAAAGAACAATGGGCTAATCACAGTAGGGATTGACGATCAAGGTAGTAAAACCAGTTTATACCGTTGCACTGGTTTAGCAAGTGAAATGGTTCAACTAATTTTTACCGGCTTATGCTACTTCAACAAAATATATAGAAATGTGAAAAACTATTAACATAAAATGAATTTAATTATATATAGAACATATTTGAAGACAGTTTACTTACAATCCATATTTACATTTAAATAAAATTTGACATTCCAAAAGAAATAACAAATACTCATATTTAAATACAATATTTAACGTTAATACCTAAATGTGTATACTTGAATCCAACAAATAACATCAATATTTACTTTTAAATTTATAAAATAAAATAAAATAAATTTTTATTAATTAAATTCACTAAAACGACGTCAACCTATTTAGAAGTCTTAATTCGATCATATCAATTATTTTCATGCGATCTGGTTGAACCGGTCGGCATTCGATACAGGGGAAACCTAGGAAATTGGATCACTTCACTTTCGTCCACTACCGAATCCAAATTCTCTGCGGGGTAAATTCCGTCGGTTGGTCTATCGCAATGTCAACTGAGAACTGCAGCTCGGCTAGGGATCTGCAGCCAAAAGTGTGTTGAACGAGGTCGAGCGCGAGACCAACGACGATTTCCTTTCAGAAAAATCAAAACCCTAACACAAAGATGGTGATGGTAAAGTGGAACAGATGTGCGAATGAAATGAGGAAGATGAGACGGTATTCAGTTTAAGACTAGTGAAGGAAATTAATAGTGGGCCTGTCTGTTTTGTTATTAAATCTCGGCCCAGTGAGATGGTTTGAAAGCCCTGGACTTAGAGCCCTTAACCCAACCGAGTACAGAAGCTAAGGAGTAAGCTTCTTCTTCTCCTGTTCTTCAATTTAGAAACACCTTCCCTGTTTCCAACAGAGCTCAAGAACACACAGACAGATTATCAGTTAAAGCGAAAAGCAAATGTAAAGAAGTGACACAGGGGATTTTTACGTGGTATCCAGTACATGGAGAATAAGGATCCCTGTACTGACTAATCAACGGTTGAAGGATCTCTTCTTGAGATCTTCAACGTATAACCAATTACTCAGTTGCTCAAGTTTCCTGTTACAAATCCGAACAGAGAACTCTCAGCCTTCTGCTGGTAGATCACTCTAACTAGATTGAACTATCACTCAAGTCTAAAGGACAGCAACCTAATCGGCTAAGCAATCACTCTGATATGCTCTCTTTTCACAACAAGAACTCTAGCTAATTCTCAGCTCTTCTCTTCTTGTTCGATTGAAAAGGTTAACCTGCTGGTTCATGATCCGCTCCTCTTTATACTTATGCTTTCCTCAACGTCTCTTTTAGAAACCTTCTATCTTTGACTCAAGGTACAATTGGTAATGCATCACACTTGATTTCTTTCCAAATCAACCTATTGTGCCGTTTGAATTTGCTTGATCAAGGCCATTGACCGAGCTTCCTTCCACAAAGTGAACCCTCCTCCGATCAGCAAACTGGGAGACGACCTGCTCGTACAAGTTCTACTTCGTGTTCCGGAAGCTAGATTCGCCTGCTGCTGCAAACTGGTCTGCAAGCTTTGGAACTATCTCATATGTGATCCCTACTTAATTCGCTGTTTCGTTTCGCACCACCAAAGAAGGAATGGCGGTGAAGCACTTTTGAGGCCTTCAGATTCCATCTTGAGCTTTCTTCCCGTGCCTGATGAAGACTTTCTCGGTTATGGATTCCTTCAAGGACTTGCTTTTATGCGGGTTTGGGAAAGATTTCGAAAATGGCAAACTTGACATATCATACTTGGTCTGCCCCACTGCAACAGAAGCCGGTTGGGGAATGGTGGATTGAGAGAATGAATGGGCCAAGGAAATGAAACGAAGCCACGAGTCCATTTAATTTGCTCTGTCCAATTAAATCCCATTTGTAAAAGGAGAAGTGGATGTGTGTCCAATTAATTTCGGTTGAGATGTCTCACACGGAATTAAAGAGACATAGGCAGCTGTGGTCATTAGTTCTTGGCAGTTTGGGATGATGTTTACTTTGTGTGAAAGTATAGGAATGCCAGTGAGAGGAGATGCGGTTCAAGATAGGGTGAGTAACAATGAGTAACCAAATCTGTACTTTTCTTTTAAGTGGTTGCAGATCTAAGGGTGGAGAATTAAAGGAATTTATTTTCCCTATTTTTTTAATTGGATCATATCTTCTTTTTTCTAACTCGGATTTCAATTTTTTTTGCACAGATGGAACGAGTTCGTTGTGCTCTACAAAATGATATCCATTTTCAATATTTTTTGAGAATTTTTTTTTTCATCCCTCTCGTTACCAACTCCATACCATATGGTATATCTTTCGTTGTTTAGTCATTTTCGGAAATTTTTGCATTAAAGGAACGATTTTTTTTTTGTGAGAAACAGAGCACAGAGGGGCGCTCTAACCCTTATATATTAATCGAACGGGGTATCTGAATCCCAACAAGGTCATACATCAACCAATAACTCAACTGAGGGCCCGGAGCGTCAAACAAGTGAACTCCAACCGGTAAATCATGGCTAACAGAAGCCATATAATCAGCAACATAATTACCCTCCCGAAAAACATGATCAATACTGACCTCCCAGTCCCTAGCCAGAAGTCTGCGAATAGCAGCCGTCATAGTATAGTGGGGGTGATTTACTTGGTCTGTCTGCAAAAGAGATATCGCTGCGGCCGAGTCGGTCTGTAGCTTAACTTTGCGTGCTCCTGTCTCCCACGCACTGCGTAATCCTTGGGCAATCCCTGCAAGCTCAGCGTGAGTGATCGATCCTCCTCCCAAATTGAAAGAAAAAGCCTTAATAAACCTTAATAACTCCGACGGCCGTATTAATACCCAGAGCTGAGATCGCCGATCCATCCGTGTTGACGGCCATCCAGCCCCGCGGAGGGCGCTGCCAGCTGATCATCTGAATCATCCGTCGTCTAGACCCTTCCATGATCTCTTGAGCTTTGGTGAAAGCTCTATCCATATGCTCCCTTGTATACTTTGCCCTCGCCGCCAGCCCCTCCATTGGTGAAATAACTTCATTAAAAACCCACTCGTTTCTACTTTTCCACAACTTCCAATAGAGGATGCCGAATAGAGATGCGTCCAGCGCTGTCCCTCTCCCACTGAGGTAATGCATGAACCAGCGTCTGCTATCCTGTTCGAAAAAATCCGCGTCCGGCTCATCCTGCAGCACATAAGACCATACTCCTCTTGCATAGGGACAATCTCGTAAGACATGGATGACAGATTTAGGTCCCCCGCCACAAACTTGACAGTGGCTTGACTGAGATAGATGACGTCGAGCTCTCTCTACATTAGTGAGAAGCCGTCCATGCAGTGCTAACCACAGAAAAGTCTTCATTCGCTGAGGTCCCTGAAACCTCCAAGCCTTCTTCCAAATAGGGTGCGGTTGATCATTGTTTACACCCGATCTCGTTAGCTCATATGCCGTTTTTAAAGTGAACTTCCCTGAGTCTGAGTAGCGCCAAAACGGCGTATCAGGGTTATTTCCAACCGGAACAGGATGCAAACACACCAGGGCCACTACTTCTTCGGGGAGAAAAGCTCGAATAAAGGGTAGGTTCCAGTCATCATTGAGTACCATTTCGGCGACAGTCAAGTCCCTAGCCGCATCAGGAACGCCGTGTGCAACGGAGGCCAAGGGTTGGCCATCACTGAGCCATCTGTCCGTCCAGAAGCGAACCTGCAAACCACTATTGATATTCCACATTGTTCCCTCCGGAATAAGGTGTAGGACTCGGATTACCCCTCTCCACAAGTTGGATAGGTGGCCCTCTTCTCTAGCCCTCCAACCGTTCTCAGTCTTCCTCAAGTACTTCCCTCTAATCACTTGAGCCCAAAGGCTATCTTGCTCCGTTAGTAAACGCCAAGCAATCTTGATCATAAAAGCTTCATTCATACGAGTGGCACTTCGCAACCCCAGACCCCCTTCCTCCTTTGGTGTGCACAAAGTGTCCCTCCTTTATCGATGTAGTCACGAACCGATGCTGGGAGTCAAGACGTCAGCATCATGTAGGCTGGGAGAGATGAAAGTACCGACTGTGCCAAAGTAATGCGACCCGTCAGGGAAAGCGATCTGACTTTCCAGCCCGCCAATCTAGTCACTACAACAAATTCGGCCTATTATGACGAGGGAAATTCGTCATATTAGATACCCATTTTGTCATATTAGGTATAATATGACAAAGGGTGTTGTCACAAAGGTTTGTCATTTTATCGCCGTCAGGATAGGTCAAATGTGACAAATATTTAAAACAAAGTTGTCACATTTGCTTTCAGTATAGCTGAGGTTCTAGGTAGTATATTGTGACAAACATAGATTTTATGACAACATATTTTGTCATTACAGTTGTCATAATTTGGTGATTTTGGGACAATTGTTCGCCATATTACGCGATTATATTTTGTCATGACTATATATTGTGACGACTACATTTTGTCACAAGTGTTTATTGTGACGATATTGTTTTGTCATACCTGCATATATCGACGGATATATTTGTCAGGAAAGGTGCCTTATTTGTCTCATGTCTAATATGACAAGAGTTATTTTTGTCAGGCAATGTGTATGATGTGACAAATGGAGATGTTATGTCAACATTATTTGTCATTAATTATGTCATAATTTGCTTATTTTGACAAGCAATTTACATATGTGACGACATGACATTGTTGTCACTTTTGACCTGCTAAAAAAAATTCAAAATTGCTTACATTGCAACCTGACAATGGAAAGATTGCCAAAAATCCAAAATATTACAACCATTTCCATAGCATTCTAACTCCTTGTTCAACATAACCAAACATTCTAAGTTGTTCATCATGACACAAAACATTACACCTTGTTCACCATGACACAAACCATTCTAACCAATCACAAACCGCTAAACAATATCTTCCCTCCACAAAAAGAGGGTTGGGGCACTAATTTTTAGGGTGGACTCTCGCCATTTCTTCTTCTCTTCCCCTTCTCGAGGACTTTCTTCTTCTTTTCTGACACAGACAACGAAATTCTGCAAAACAGAGACTTCCTTTCCCCCTCCCCCCTTTCCCCCTCAATAGACAGGCAACAAAACTCTTCTCGACTTCCTTCATTTCTGATAAAAAAGCACAGCAGCAAAATTCTACAAAGCTTCACTCACTTCCACTTTCTCAAACACAAAAAAAAAAAAAACACTGTTTTGCAATGGTTTAAAGGCACCCCATCTAATCTATACACTCTTTAGACTAAAAAGCACTAGCCCACATACCATCACCCTCAAACAGAACTTCCCCATACAAAAATTTCCAGATTCATTCATATCTCAAACGAACAAGTAACCCACAAACAAAACGTAGATTCATATCTAAACCACCCTTCTCTTTTAAACAAAAATCAGGAAACCATAGCAACATACAACTTACAAGAGCTAAACACCATTACTACAAGTTAATTTCCATGAAATTTTCCATAACCAAAGACCACTAATTCACCATCATAAACACTCACCGGTTCCTTGATTCAAATCCATCATAAATCACACACTGCCCATTTTCAGAATTAGAACTAACTACCACATCTTACCAAAAAATCTCATTGTCCACGTCGTCATCGTCGGCGGCGTACCTAGGACTGCCGGTGGCAGTTCATTCTTTTCATTTTCTTTCTCTTCTCACCTGAAAACCCCAGTCGGAATTCAAATCAAAACAAAAAAAATAAGTGGTCATAAAATCATTGGAAACTAGAAAAAACAAATTAAAAGGAGATGGTTTGATCGAGATGTGCTATTAACAGGCGATGCCAAGGCGGTTGTGGACAAATTGTATTCCAGTGATATTAATGATGTTCGCGGTGGGGCCATTCTTAGGGAGGTTCAAGAGTTGCTGCTCCAGTTACCAAAAGTCTCTTTACTTTTCACACCTCGAGAAGCGAATCGGGCTGCCCATTGTGTGGCGCAACAAGCCTTACGCTATCCTGGTCTTCGGTGTTCGTTGCTTAATTTCTCCTATTTGGTTTGTCTTTGAGTCGATGGGTGAGAGTGCTGATTGTGTAGCCTCCCCTATCTTTAACGATTGAAATCCGGCAGGATTTTATTGAAAAAAAAAATTAAAAGGAGAAATCGGAACCTCACCAGAAGGGTTTCGTCGGTTGCCCGCGACATCGTCATATTTCATTGTTCTTCCCCTTTTTCCGTCGTCACTGTCGACTTCTTCTGTCCTTTCCTCCGTAATCAACCCTTAAAAAAACTCAGAAAATGATTTCAATCAGAACCCGAAATCAAACAAAAAGCGTGCATGTAAAAGAAACTTACCCGAACCCACGATTCCATCATCGCCGCCGCCCTCATTCCGGGTTTTGATTTGTCGGCCGAGAGGATTGAGAGGGAAAGAACGATTGGTTTCATTCCCACGGAGAAGAGATTCACGGGAGCCAAATCGGAAAGGAGAGAACCAGATCATGAAAAATAAAATAAGAGAATGTTGAGGGAAAGAAAGAGGCTCAAGATTGGTTTCATTCCCGCGTCTGCCAGCTGCTAGGTTGGCCTTGAGCTTCACAAAGCCTCATCCCGTGCTCTCAGCCATCGATCCACCGCATCCACAGGGCTAGCGCCACTCTGGTAGCGTACCAAGGAAGGTGGTGTCCCTCCACACAGCGCCTCGAATGGTGTGGTCTGGATATCCCGATGATGTGTAGAATTATACCATAACTCAGATCACGGAAGCATAGCCAACCAACGTCGCGGTTGCTGATGGGCAAAGCAACGCAGGGACTGCTCGACGTAGTGCTTGACCACCTCTTTTTGGCCATCAGTCTGAGGGTGCTATGTTGAGCTCATCTGCCGGGTACCCTTTTCTAGGGCAAAAACCTCCAGCCAGAAGCGACTCAAAAAGATGGAATCCCGGTCACTGACAATCGATCGCGGGAATCCATGGTGTCGTACCACTCCCAGCACAAACTGCTCTACCACTGTCCGCGCTGTATAGGGGTGTGCCATGGCCATGAAATGACCATACTTCGTGAGCTGATCAACAACAACAAACAAGACTGTCTTCCCCTCGGATGGTGGAAGCCCCACAATGAAATCCATGTTGATGTCCTCCCATACCCGCTCCGGTACCAGCAAAGGCTGGAGGAAACCGGCCGGTCGCAAGTGAGAAGCCTTGACCCGCTGATATGTGTCACAGGATGCCACATAGTCCTTCACATCCTGACCCATCTGTGACCAGTAAAACTAGAGTCTGGAGCCTACGAAGTGTCCGCTCCACTCCAGAATGTCCACCGAATGGGGAGTCATGGAATTCCTGTAATACCGTCGTCACCATGGATGACCCCCGGGGAAGAACCATGCGCCCCCTGAAGAACACCAAGCCCTGCTGAAATGAATAGTTACTCGAGGCCTCGCTGACTACGATTTCCCGAAAACTAAGCAGATACGGGTCGGACTCGTTGAGATCGCGCAGCGCATCCCAAAACTGCGGTACTGGACCAGTCACCGCCGCAAGCACCTCTCCCCCTTGTCGCCGAGACAACCCGTCGGCCACCATGTTGGTCGGTCCTGGTCTGTAATGAATCTCATAGTCATAGCCCAACAACTTCGAGATCCACTTGTGCTGGTCGGGTGTGGATACCCGTTGCTCCAAGAGATTCCGCAGACTTTGATGATCAATGTAGATGTTAAATTTCTGCCCCAGCAAATACAGTCTCCACATCTGTACTGCAGTGATGATAGCCTGCATCTCCTTCTAGTAGGTAGACCAGGCTTCTTTCGACGGAGCTAGGGTCTTACTCATGTATGCAATCGGGTGTCGGTCATGAGACAAAACTGCTCCAATCCCCCTACCCGATGCGTCTGCCTCAATCATGAACGGTCTGGAGAAGTCGGGCATGGCTAGTGGCCTAGAAATCATGTTGTACCCCTGCACAAACTTCCAATAGTATCCAGCCAAGCCCAAAAATCCTCGCAACTGAGTGACATTAGCCGAAACCGACCACTCCACCATCGCCTGAATCTTGGACTGATCCACCTGAACACCCTGCGGAGTGACAATGTGCCCCAGATAATCCACTTTCTGCACCGCGCATGAACACTTAGAAGCCTTGATGTAATACTGGTGTTGCCACAAGATCTCAAACGTTATCTGCAAATGCGCCTTCCACGACGGGCTGCATATGAGAATATCATCAAAAAATACCAACACAGAGCGTCACAGTAGGGTTCTGAAGATATCATTCATGGAAGCTTGAAATGTCGAAGAAGCATTTCACAAGCCGAACGACATGACCAGGTACTCGTAGTGGCCATTATGAGTCTGGAAGGTGGTCTTGTGTGCATCCTCCTCCTGCATCCGGATCTGGTGATAACCGGCCCGCAAATCCAGCTTTGTGAAGTAGGCCAATCCATATAGCTCCTCGAGCATATAATCAACAGTCGGTATCGGGAACCTGTCCTTCATCGTGGCAGCATTGAGGGCCCAATAGTCCGTCCAAAATCACCACATCCCATCCTTCTTCTTCACCAAGAGTACCGGCGAAGAAAATGAATTAGTGTTGGGACGAATTAGCCTGGTCGCAAGCATCTCTGACACCTGTCGCTCTATCTCCTCCTTTTGCGAGTGACCATAACGATACGGTCGTACATTCACTGCCTCCACCCCCTCCTTCAGCCGAATGCCATGATCGACCTATCGATGAGGAGGTAAGGTTGTGGGTTCCCGGAAATATCAGAGAATTGGTCGATGGCATGCTGCAGATCAGGGGCCACTTCCCTCGTTGGCGGCGCCGCGAGCGGCCAGTAAAGGATTGCAAAATCGGCCACACCCCCCGGCGCACAGTCCCGAATGGAGATGGAGCCCATTGACGTGGTGAGTCCCAGCAGAAGCCACTCCTTATCCCTCCATTTGAACCGCATTGTCAGACTCTGCCAATCACTAGTGACCGGGCCCAAACTCTACAGCGATGGAATGCCCAAAATCACGTCGAAGCCGCGGATAGGAAGGACGTACAAATCCGTCTAGATGGGCAGCCCTTGAATCTCAAGTGTGATGCCACGGTAGAATGACTCGCATCGAATGGGCACCCTATTCGCCACCTTGACCACCACTGGTGCCACCTGACTCGCCTCATGTGTTAAGGATTTGGCGAACTCTACGTCGATGAAATTGACGGAGGCACCACTATCCACCAGGGCCAGCGCTGAATGTCCGTCTATTTGTGACCGAAATTGGAGCGTCTCGGGAGAGGATCGCCCCGCCATCGTGTGGAGAGAGACAGTCAGGTCCGCCTCGGTTGCTGCAGGACGCGTCTTTCACCCAGCTCTGGAAACCATGTAAAAAGTGACTATGTCCATTTAGCTTTACAGCTCAAGTTGTGTGTTTGGTTCTTACTCCGTTCCTGCAGTTTCTATTGTGTTCTTCAGTGTGCAGGGGAACTTGATTCTGTGAAACATAAAGAAGGAGCTGGTATTGTGTTACTAAAACGCATAGCTTCGGGAAAGTGAACACGGAAGAGTTGTAAGCTCGGATCAAAACTAACAAAGGGACTAGGCCTAAGCGGTAAAGCCCATTTACAAGAAGGTTTGAACCATTTCTTTACTCTTCCGTTTACTATTTCCATTTCGATCAATTTCCACTTTTGTTCTTCGTTCTTCATTTGTTCTTGGCAAAAGCTAGAGTTAGGGTTCGCAGGTGAGATTACAGTACTGGGAGGTGCAGGCATGTCGCGCTTGATGCCAGCAACACGTGGTATCAGAGCCTCGTCACTAGTAAAGAAGTGTTCAATGACCTCTGGTGGATCCAAGGATGGCGTCGGGGTCAGCAAGCAACGCTCCGCTATATCTCGCCGACGGGTTTTCCCATAATCGACCTCCACGATTTGAAGGAGTAAATTACGGGTACTGGAAGAATCGCATGGAATTGTTTGTGGGCTCGACTTATCCAAAGCTTTGGGCTCGAGTTGTCAAAGGACCACACGAACTCAAGGAGGATCAAGAGAAGTGGACTGATGATGATTACGAGAAGTTCCAGCAAAATTGCAAGGCAACAAATTTGATGTACTATGCTCTTGGACCAGAGGAGTATCACAAGGTGGCTGGCTGCAAAACAACAAAGGAACCGGGACAAACTTCAAGTTACTTACGAAGGCACAGCCCAGGTTAAGACCTCACGAATAAACTCCTTGAAACATAAATTCGAGCTGTTCAAGATGGAAGATGGTGAGTCTATTCGCTAGATGTATGAAAGGTTCACAAATATAGTGAGCATGCTGGAGAATCTGGGAAAGTCATACGAGAGTGGGGATCTAGTAAGGAAGATCCTTTGGAGCCTACCTGAAAAATGGACTCCTAAAGTAACAGCGATCGAAGAGGCAAATGATTTGGAGAAACTGGCTATCGACGAGCTTATTGGCTCTTTGGCCACCCACGAGGACAAATTGAATAAGGTTGTGCTTGAAAAGGAAACTAATGACAAAGGAAGAAGAGGAATTGCATTAAAGGAAGTTAGCCTGGCTTTGGAACCTGAAGAACTAAACGATATGGATGATGAAGAGCTTGCCTTACTTAGCAAGCAAATCAGCAGGATGTTAAAAGGTAGGCAAGAAAGACGACGAGGAGACCTTGGAGCAAAGAACAAGGAATCTGAAAAGAATGAAGGGGGACACAAGTTCAATCATCCGAAGACATATTCCAGAAACAGAAATGAACAGACTCAATCATCCAAAGGGGTGAACTCAACAGGATGTTTCAAGTGTGGGAGAACGGGACACATCAAGGTTGAATGCTCTAAACTTCGAAGGGAAAAAGCACTTGCAGCCACCTGGAGCTGTAGTGAAGACGAAGCTGATTATGAAGTGACAATTCACAGATCATACATGGCCATTGCGGAAGAAGAGGATGAAAACTTCATCTCATCCGTCCCCAGTGAACAAGTAAGAACTTCTCAGACCAATAACTTATATATATCTGAATACTATGTAGATGATGAATCTCACGAAGAAACCATAAAAGAAATACAGATTGGATTCCAAAATGTCAAAATCAAATACTCTAAGCTAAAATGTAAAAATGAAGAAAGTCTAAAGGAAGCAGAAGCATTGAGAATGAAACTAAACACAATCGGAAAGATAATGCACGTCTGAAAGATGAACTCAACATGGTAAAATCAGAAAATGACAAATCTCAAACTGAATGCTTATGTCTTAAAGAGCAACTAAAATTTTTTATAACCAATCAAAATA